CCGCCTGAGGTCTCGAGAAGATGTTGCGAGGACCCAGTGCGAAATACCTTTGCGTTCGAATTAAACGAATTAAGCTTCTGCATGTGCAAGAAACTCGCAAGGACGACGGACTTCAAACCGGACGGAGAGTACCGGACGAGAATTCGCATGGTCTTAGCCCAAGGCGTCGCGCTACCTTCTAAATTGTCTTTAATTAATAGTTATTAAAAGACGAGTGCCGGGAGAATATTACCTTGTCGCAAAGCACGACGTACCAATTGTTCAGCCGCGATAGACACCGAATTGAAAATGCACCGCGGAGTAGAACGAGAGAATTTTTTGCCCGCGCTTTTCAACCCGGGAATGATGAGATGGGAAATATCCCGTTATTGGATTTATGAGAGGCAAGAAACTTGTAAAGCTCAATATTTCAAAGCTTCAGATTTTATTTCCACGATCCAATAATGCGGTCGAACAAAACGTCAATTCGGAACGAGACGGGAAATGCCGTAAGGATGTCAGAGAGTGTCGAAAGAGCGTCAACTGTGCGTTCTAATGTTGAAAGAGTTGAGGATATTGTAATAATATGAAACTGAGCTCACAGATGGACCGTTACGGCTATTCGTTTGCGATCCTCCAGCACACTCGAAGACTGTCAAAACAAATATCGTTTTCGAGATGACGTTACTCTCGTGCGACGGAATGTGAGTTTAATATTATTCTTTGACAGCTTTCAAATGCATAAGAAGTTATAAACGCGAAGGATGCAGGTGTACGAAAAATTTATCGCTCGCAATAAATGTATCTGAAAGTACGCTGTAGAGAAATCTAACGATAAAAATATTTCAATGAAAATTTCATAAAGTTACGGAGAATTGCGTTGAAGATACGTTGTCGCAGAGGAAGTTCCGCTGACGAATTAAATGAATGCATGGAGCACTCTTTTCGTCGTGCTATTTCTTCGCATTGGCTAAATTTATCTTTCCTTTCAGAGAGAATCTTGTATAAGAAGGTAAACACAGTGATTCGATAAACTCGCGGGGTAGGCTGCCGTTCAAGACCCTGTTCCTTATTTAGAATTTGCGCGATCGAAGTCGAGACTATACAAAGAATAGGTATAAGCGGTTTATATACATTTCTAATTTATCGCGTTGTTCCATATCGAGATGATACGGACAACGGAGAAGGATAAATTGATAGTAATTCTATTCTGTTGAATACGGAAATACAATTCAGAAGCTAATTCTACATTCTACACTCAGAATGCGAGAAAGAGATTTTAATATACTTATTGGTTTTTTTATTTAATAATTATTTCAGACATAGATAAAATACGTCGGTTTTAATATTGGCATTTTCTAATCCGTAAACTGACTAATCGTGTTAGTTTTATAATAGAATTTCTTTTCGTTTTATATTTTGTGAAAATTTTCAATGCGATGCCCAGAAATATTGTTCAAAAACTTACTACATTAAGATACTTTTTTATCTAAAAAAGTATAATATGTTCACAAAGATATACGATATTCCTAGTTGATTTCATAAACAAACAAGTAAAAAGTGAATAAAATTCCTTGCAAAACTTTAATATTTTAAATTTTATCTGTACTTTTAAATTTTTTCCCAAAACAATATTAAACGTTCGTTAAAAATGAATGGTAATAATTTTAACATTATTATACAAAAGACACTGTAAAAACGATTTCAATGGAAAGAAACATATTTTAATACATATCTAAAACTCGTGCTCGTTTCTTTATTTTCGTATAATAACGATTCGATTATTACAGAAAAGCATATCTTTTAAAAGAGATTTATCTACTCCTCTTTTGGGAGTAAAAAGATTACGTTATTACAAAGTCAGGTCGTTTTGGTTTTATCAAAAATTATTATATTATCATTGATATATAATTTTTAAAAAAAGATCTCCTAAATTTGTAATTTCTTGTCACAGATATGATGACCTCTTCTGCATATATCCGCAGATATATCTATGAGAGAGACCTACAGTTTTAACGTCGATTCTGATTTCTGAACGACCTACTAGAAGAAGTTCTTATATCAAAGACACTTTTGGTAATTTGCCATTGCTTTTCAAGAGACGATTAAATAAAATTTAATATAAATATACGTTTTGGGTGAATGTTTGAACCTGAATTATCGAAAGCAGACGATTTTTACGTTATAATCGCCATAAAAATTAAGTACAGTGATAGTGAATAAATTATTAAACGGTATCTACCGTTTAATAATTTATTCAATTGTGTACTTAATTTTATATAAATTTTTAACCCTCTTCTGTATTCATATATTTACTCCCTCCGTCCAGCTCAAATTATTTTACTGTTTTAGCTTTTCAAAAATGTAGAAAAATTCAGAGTTGTTTTTCAATATCTTTATTACATTACCAAATAGCTTTTTAACAAGATATTTTAGGAAGAAAAATCCGCCTTCCTTTATTTTGAAAAAATGAGAATGAAACTTTTTTATTAATTAATAACAAATCACTTAGAAATTTTATATACCGGGAGTTATAAGTAGTTCGTATTCATAGTCTCTGTAATACATATTTCCAAGTGATTCGTTATTAACAAAAGTTAAATACAGTGATAATGTGCATCATTTAATAAATAAAAATACTGTATTTAATGTTATTTAATAAATTATTAAATATATTTAATATAGATTTGATAAAATTATTAAATATGATACATTCTGAGTGGATTTAAAATCGATTCTTTGGCACTGAAAACAGATGCTCAATTCTTTACATCATGATCAATATACAGATGATAGAAAATATTTTAATAATATACAAGCTTATTTATAAAAAGCATCCATAATTCGTTTGTAAACGATAAAATATTCTTTGCAATAATATACGATTCGATATCGAAAGACTACAAAAATATACGAACGATAAGTATAATATATAAACACACTATAACAAAATATATATCTGAGAATTAACAATGAAGATAGGTAAACCGGGTAAACGTACCATATTCGTGGAACTGTCTGAGCATCGACGGGTGGCTGGAATAAAAAACAATCTCTCGATGTTAAAGTCGTTTACGTGCGTATGAAAGTGGAGTCCTCCGGTGTGTAATCCGAGTGGATAATGGACATGAACGGAGATAAAGGTGGGAAGAGGAACTGAAAGAGACGCACTTTACGCTATTTCCCTCTCTCCCTTTTTGTTTTACTCTTTCTTCTTCTATTTCGTCGAATCTCGTGTTCGCTTAGGGCTGACGAACGGAGGTGATGAAAGGCTTTACATCACGGAATGAAACGCGGGAGGGCGAATCAGTATGAATAGAAATGTTTCCTTGGTTTCGTAACGGTCATTGTTACGAACGTCCTGCAAATCCTAGTGTTTAAGTAAGGCTATTACAGTCGTCGTACGACAAATTTTTCAAGCTTGTTAATTAGCTATAGGATAGGGAGACTTGAAAACTTCACTGTCTTGCAGCTAATTAACATCTTGAAAAATTTTGTCGTACGACGAATTTTTCAAGCATGTTGATTGGCTCCTAGATAAAAAAGTTCTCGAGTTTCTGGAAATTCTTTCTATCTTGTAGATACCAATCAATACGTTTGAAAAATTTGTCACAGCAAATGAAGTTAATGAAGTGACTTCATATATGTATGTGATTCAGTTTTCCGTGTAAAAACAATACACTATGTTATATACAAAAATAGTTTTACACATTTATATGTGTAGCACAGTATTATTTTTATATCTCTTGAGTTAAATAACATATTTTTTACTCCATCTATATATCAAAATGTAAATCAACTCATTTCTGTGGCTAAATTGCCTTTAAAGTAAATAATATCCATATTAACTTAATAAATAATAAATTAAATTTTGAATCAAATTTAATGCATTTCTTGAGTTAAATTATTTAACGTTTTTATTTTAGTTAAATTAACAATATACATATTAATAGTAATTAAATAGTAGCGACTCTTATAGAAATTAACTTAATTAAAAATAACTCAAATTAATACACAAAGACATAATTTAAATTTAATTTCTAAATTCAACAATTTAAGGATGTTTTATACACATTTCCAAAATGATAAAATTATATGAAAAAATTACAGATTACACCAAATCACGTTTAAAAATAATACGACAAATTTGATGAGCAGTTTACTATCTGGATTATAAGTTATTTTAATAAAGAGTAGTAATTTTTTAATTTGTGCTCTAATAAAAATATATGGAAATGTATTATAAAATAAATGATAAAAATCTCAATTTTTTAATATAAGTACATTATGTATTCAAGATTATTTACATAGTTTATTGCGATGCATAAACTAGTTGTCCAATAAATAAACGAAATATTTATTTATTCTATATCTTTGTAACTAATCAGTAAATCGCAATGAAACTTTGCATAAATTATTTTGAATATTTAAAGTACTTATAACAGAAAAATGTGAATTTTTTAATCATTTTTTAACATTTTAATTTTTAATAAAAAAATAATAAACTACAAAAATGTAATCTTATTCACACAACTTTCATATGTATATAGTTTATTTAAAGTGTAAATATCAAACATACTTCCAAATTTAACCTTCTTTACAGGGACTGTACGTCTAATACATCCTTAAGCATTTTTAATTTCTACTAATTTCCCTAATTACTTTATCTCTCTAATATATAATATCTATTCCTGTTGCCATGATATTTCTTCCATTGTGGGCAGGGTAAATCACACACGTATTACTGGATTCACCTGCATCCGATTTTCGTCGTACGACGCTC